ATGTTTCTTTCATAACAAACAGGTTTATTTCCTATACAAATGGACTTGTGCATAGGAAGTGACTTCGGTATTACCTTAATTCTATAAATGAAGAATGTACGTTTTACTGAATTCTCTTCAAGGTTACACGTTTATATATCAAAGTTAATTGTTGAAAAATAACTAGGTTTCAGGCAAAATGCACGGTGTCAATTTAACATGTGAAGTTAGGTTTGATTGGGAAATAAAATAGTCAATGTTGAAATGATTAATATGAACTGTTAACGTCGACGAGTTAATGCGTGAAATGAAACTGTGACATCACTGGTCAAAATAAATACGGGTCAGATATAGTTACGAAATTCGATCGAATGTTAAGCGGATAATTTTATGAAAATTCAATAAGAAATATTACAATCAGTCGGTTATAATTGAATCGATCATGTGTTTTGGAGATAAGTGGTGATGTTGAACTGAAGATAATAATAACACAAATCTATGTGAATAGAGATGATTAATACTTTCGACTAAGAAAGGTTGTATGTAAATTAGTCAACTTGAGTCCTGCTATAGTTAACACAACTGTTAGTTCACTGAATCTAAAGTTGACATCCGTAAGAGAACTGGTTAATATATTTCTTTTGCACTGGATTTTAATCCAAATGGCTTTTACCTTTACTACTTGAAGAATTTTCAGTTGGAGCGATTTCGGTAATATACACTTATATATATTATTATTGTTATTTTATATTTCAATAGTGAAACGACTTAGGTTCACTCACCTGATATATAGTTGAAAGATTTTCTTTTCTTTGAGAACTGTTTCGATCGGAATACAAGGCAAATATGTCCATTACGGTGACCTACGATTTTTTTCAAAACAGTATTATCTCATCGAAATATAAACAAACCTTGTCCTCTAGAAACATCTTTTCATCCGCATTCAACCATTTTATTTGAGAAACTGAGTTAAGTATAGTGCTTTTAATTTCACGGAACATAGTAATCACCTGTAATTGATTGAAAACAATTGAAGTTATTGAAACGTATGTTTTGTTCAAAATTTAATATCAACGAAATGATGGTATAAAAGAAAGAATTTATGATACCCGAGCGCACGTGTAGCTTAAATGTGCTCCCACAAAATTACGCATAAATTCATTCTCACTTGGTTGGGATTTTGAATAAGACCGTTTGTCTAACTGAAACTAGTTTGATGTTAAAATAGATTTGATCAATTCAATTTAACACATGTAGTAACTTCTGTTCGAATTCAAAAGAAGAATTTCACGACATTTGCGGGTAAGGTGTATGAGAGAAAAGAATAGGAACATGTTTAAATGGTGTTATCAATTTGAATTATATAAAGACCCTTATGTTTTGCATGGCGATGTTGTCCGGTCAGGATTTACTAACATAAAATGATTTGTTGAAGTGTATTCTTGGTGAACGATTATTGTCACGTGGAGATTCCGACTATAAACAACATCGCCATGCAAAACATAAGGGTCTTTATATAATTCAAATTGATAACACCATTTAAACATGTTCCTATTCTTTTTCTCTCATACACCTTACCCGCAAATGTCGTGAAATTCTTCTTTTGAATTCGAACAGAAGTTACTACATGTGTTAAATTGAATTGATCAAATCTATTTTAACATCAAACTAGTTTCAGTTAGACAAACGGTCTTATTCAAAATCCCAACAAAGTGAGAATGAATTTATGCGTAATTTTGTGGGAGCACATTTAAGCTACACGTGCGCTCGGGTATCATAAATTCTTTCTTTTATACCATCATTTCGTTGATATTATATTTTGAACATAACATACGTTTCAATAACTTCAATTGTTTTCAATCAATTACAGGTGATTACTATGTTCCGTGAAATTAAAAGCACTATACTTAACTCAGTTTCTCGAATAAAATGGTTGAATGCGGATGAAAAGAAATTTATACAAGACAAGGTTTGTTTATATTTCGATGAGATAATACTGTTTTGAAAAAAATCGTAGGTCACCGTAATGGGCATATTTGCCTTGTACTCCGATCGAAACAGTTCTCAAAGAAAAGAAAATCTTTCAACTATATATCAGGTGAGTGAACCTAAGTCGTTTCACTATTGAAATATAAAATAACAATAATAATATATATAAGTGCATATTACGGAAATCGCTCCAACTGAAAATTCTTCAGGTAAAAGCCATTTGGATTAAAAAAACCAGTGCAAAAGAAATATGTTAACCAGTTCTCTTACGGATGTCAACTTTAGATTCAGTGAACTAACAGTTGTCCTAACTATAGCAGGACTCAAGTTGACTAATTTAAATACAACCTTTCTTAGTCGAAAGTATTAATCATCTTTATTCACATAGATTTGCGTTATTATTATCTTTGATATTGGCTCAACATCACCACTAATCTCCAAAACATATGATCGATTCAATTATAACCGACTGATTGTAATATTTCTTATTGAATTTTCATAAAATTATCCGCTTATCATTCGATCGAATTTCGTAACTATATCTGACCCGTATTTATTTTGACCAGTGATGTCACAGTTTCATTTCACGCATTAACTCGTCGACGTTAACAGTTTATATTAATCATTTCAACACTGACTATTTTATTTCCCAATCAAACCTAACTTCACATGTTAAATTGACACCGTGCATTTTGCCTGAAACCTAGTTATTTTTCAACAATTAACTTTGATATATAAACGTGTAACCTTGAAGAGAATTCACCAAAACATCCATTCTTCATTTATAGAATTAAGGTAATACCGAAGTCACTTCCTATGCACAAGTCCTTTCGTATAGGAAATAAACCTGTTTGTTATGAAGGAAACATGGAAAATCTTTGAGACACTATTGCGAGTAGAACTCAATAGTGATGTCATTTAATATAATTAAAACATATTTTCAACGTTTCAAGAAACATGGTAAAGCTTTTATCAGTAGTTGGCATGGAAACTTCAACTCCCATGTCTAAATTTAGCAGATTAGCGATTTAGGGATTAAAATTCCGACTGTTAAGATTTATGCTTAAATTATACTGATCCTCAAAAGAAATCCATCAATCTTAATGACATTCAATAAGTTGGATGCATGTGCAATATTATAGCCCATGATTGCATATCAGTAAAAACTTGTATGTGTATCATCGAGTAACAGAATTTTTATATCCGGGTACTGATTTTTATTACAACCACATTATTTGGGTAGAACAGGAAACAAAATGTCGCTGCTGATTCAAAAATATATACATGATAAATTTCAAAGCAGCATGATTACAACATGTTTAAAACATTTGCTTACAACAACCCTATTAACATTTTTTCATACTGATAATATTTAGTACTCGATGAAAGAAGACAATTACTATTTGAACGAGTTCTACATCCGTAAAGCCAAATATATCGACATTTTGAAAACTCGCTTATTCAACTATGAAGCGTAAGTTGCCGTGATGTAATAGTAGTGGTAGTAGTAGTTGTTGTTGTGGTAGTCGTAATAAGAGTAAGAGTAGTAGTAGGAGTAGTGGTAGTATATGTTATTAGCAATCATCATTTTGAATATTTGACTAGAAAGATTTCAATATATTTCAATCGAAACAATCGTTCCGAATGCTGACTCCTACTGAACTCAAAGCATAATATCGTGTAGTCGAGTTTGATTTCGTGGACCGATTCAACAATATCAATAAACAGGTTTACGCGAAACCTCAAAAACAGAAGAATGTAAAAACCAATTTATCCGATCAATGAACCGCAGACAAATAAATGTGATTACAGTGAATATTTGTTGCTATTCGATATTCAAAATTTCGATAACGTAAAATGACGAAAACACGCCTCCTGGTACTTCAGCTCTCTTTCATGGATTGAGATCTATCAGCAATTCCAAGTTTTCACTAAACATATTTCTCCGTTTTAAAAGTGATTAATTAAGTTTTCCTATTTGTAAACCACATTATTTGCTAAGGCGGTAAATCATACTGTGATACTCAAATAAGTATATTTTTCTTTGTATCCGTGGTAATGTGGGAATAAGATGAAATTACAGTAGGGTGACTGCTCGAAGAGATCAGCCTTATTTTTCTGAGACGTAATGGCAAATCAAGAGATGTTTCAGTCAACAGCTTAACATTGCAGGTAGTAGGTCAAACTAGGATAAATAGACTAAAACAATTATCAGAATAATAGTCACAGGCCATTGATAATGTTACACAACAAGAAGTGTGTAGTTTATTACATAGTGAGGATGAAATAATGACAGTCAAAAACCGTATATGAAAATAATAACAACTAGATCGTCGATTAAGTTATATTTAGTGAAAGGTGGAACAGGGCTGTTACGAACTCCTTTGGAATGCAAACCTGGTTTATATGTTTGTATCCTTATAGCTCCGATTTGCTGTAGGAGAAGGAGTGAATCTGTGATCGTGAAACAACCAAAGTATGCAACAGACCACTTCAAATGATTCAGTTTTAATCTCCTACATGACCACTCTCAACCAGATGCTCTAGTATATAGCTGTGTATCATCTATATCTGGATCTGTCTAATCCAGCCTGGGAGGTGTTCACTCATACGTCGGTTAAGTTGGTTGTTAGTGCGCGCAATTTATAGGTGTGTATCAAAGAGACAAACTCAAGTAATTTATATCATTTTTTAAATAATCTAATTACAAATTAAAATAAATGTTCAGAAGAAAGTGACGAAATAGCGCCAGCATTTGGAGTATAATAGTTCACATCAAATTGTAATACAAACGTACTAAATTTTACATTCAAATCAGACAACGAAATGGGTATGCAACTTAATTTTATTCAACCACTTTAATTTCAAGTTACAATTCAACACTTTAATTTTGACATAATTTTTGTGTGAAGAAACTACTACATTCGGTAATTCGTTAAGTAACTTCTGATGAGTTCCAACTTATAATGAGATAAAATTAAAATTTTTAACGTTTCGAACCATGAACATACAAAAAATGTGACTAATGAAGTATGAAAATTTCAAATTTTCCATCAAGCAAAATGATATTTGAAATGAACAAAATCTCATTATATTTTCGTATCAATAGATCAGAAATATCACCGGCATATATGGCTAAAGCTTATTATACAATAGATGAAAATTGTGTCTATATATATGCTGGACTTTTGCAACCTCCATTCTACTATGAAGAAGGTAACTTAGCTACAAAGTTTGGAGCAATCGGTTGGGTTATAAGTCATGAAATTTTCCATGCTATTAGTATCAAAGGTTAGTAGAATAAATCTATTTTATTTACAACACAATTAAAACTGTTAATCCTAACTAAATATGGTGAATTTCTGTAACGTAAAGAAGCTCAATGCATTTTATTTAGAATTTCATAGAGTTTATTTAATTTTCACTAGAGATAAGCAATCAATTGCAATTTGATTAGCTTTGATCAAAATCTTATCACTTGTTAATAATATTGATTGATCTATGTAAAATCATTTTATCCAACAGATGTTATTGTTGAATTTAATTAAACAACTAGAGAATTACAAAATACCATCACTACTGTGTTTCGATATATCCTTGAAATTAGCACATCAATGAAAGGAGGTCTATGTCATGACACTTTTCTACTTGAGTAGAAGAAGCCAAATAACCGATTGTCACAAATATCAGAATATCCAAATATAGTAACGTGGTGACATCTTGTTGTGATTCAGCATTTTGTCGGACATTTTATTTCATCATATCACACAGTGGTTCCCAGATTAACTTTAACTAGTCAAGTAGCCTTTCCGAAATAATATTCAGTTTGTTCGGCTTCAACTATCAAATGCGTGACAACATCCATGTCGAACTTTGTTCACGTCTATGTTGGTTACTTGTAAGTGGGTAAAAACGCTCATTCGTGTTATCAGTAGTTCTTTTTCCACAGAAACGCAGTCACTATAATTTGAAGATGCATTTAGATTGCCAACACTGCCATGACAAATCGATCGATTATTAGTTACTTTATATTATTTGCGACATGTCTAACATCAGAAAGAGTATACTCCTTGTGACTTCCGAAGAAACTCAACTCTAACCACGAGGTGTTATAGCTCTTCATCCAACCCTCCTCATTTATACGTGCGCGGGAACGACAGTAAACCTAGCAGAGCAAGAGGTGAAGTTTTTATTGTTATGTTCTTTCATTCTGATTTATAAAAATGCTGATGATCATTTAGCAATAATATACTGATTTTCGAGTTCTATTTCCTTCAAAAGTTGTTTATCTATCGTTCATTGTACCTGCAAACTAATAATTAACATGCACTAAAAATGATTACAATTTTGATAAACAATAAACTGTTGGTTTTGTTGAATCTCAAGGTGTACTGATTGATGCAAACTATAATAAACGGACATCGTTCTCTGCTTTATTGTCATCAAGTTCGATACAAATGAAACTCTCATGTATGCGTGAACAATATCGCTCCTATGCAAATACATCGTACAAAGTAAGTTTATTTATGTGATACCAATTATTGTATATTGTGCCTATTTGATAAAATATATGGAAATCATGGAATTAGAATAGTCTTCTACATGTCATGCTTATCATTAAGGTAGACAAACGATACTATGAACAATATGAAATTGTCCCATCAAATATCATTTTTGAGCAATGAAGTGTTTTTCATTGGAATAATTCTGTTCCACTATATTTTACGAAATTTACTGATCATTCCATTAACTGCAATTCTTTTAAATTTAAATAAACTGTTTTTATGAATACTAGATTAATTGAAAACTAGACTACAAAACTATCTCATATCATCTAGTACCATGTTTTTACATGTGGATTCAACATCAACTTGTGAACACAATCCATTTTAGCATTCATCTGAAATGAATTTCACAAAGTACACATTCATTCAATACTAACCGTTTCAATACCTAAGAATTTTTCATACGGACACCGAGAAAATGCTGGTCTTAAACGAAAATTAAATCAAATTCACTTACTGAACATGGTTTATGACCCTTAGTAATAGAGAGTATTTCTGTGTACATGAAATGATCACTTATTTATTGCAAGGAATAAAGTCTAACATATAACAATGTCCTATAGTCTAATCACATATGGCATTTCTATGCTAAAACATAAATATGTACATTGACGATTCAAAGTTCACTACCTCACACAACACTTGCTTTTTGATTTTTTCAATTGATTCAGGCCCTTCAAATCGATACTCAAGAAGAAATTGCGGCTGATAATGGTGGAATAAAAGCAGCTTACCATGTAAGTAGATTCAAATAACTGAATGGAATTTGGATTATACTACCCAAGTGAAATATCAGTCGTTAGATTTCCAATGTGTACCTTGTGAATAGTTTGATAATTTCTTTTGAATGGAAAAACTCCACGCGTCAAATAGACAAATAAAAAGTACTTCTATTTATGAGTGTCTCATAAGATCAATTAAGTTTATTCACTACAAAAAAAACAGTTGATTTAGAATCAGTAAATGACAAAATATGCCACAATTATTTCTGTGAACAAATGATACATCTGATCAGACTTACATGTTATCTCACTAAGTACTTCGATAGAATGTTAGCTGTCTTAGCTTGCTATTCCTTATCATACAAGCGATAATTAATTAATTTACAAGCAAACGAATTTCAAGAAGATAGTACTGAGCTTTTACCACCGAAACTTCATTTGGACTGATAATGTCTGCTGTTTGAATTTATGGGTTGTTTCATCATAACTTAACGCAAACAGTTCTGTCAGATTTGCTGATACAAATACAATAATTGATCACCGACTCTATGGAGTGGTAGAACGAAACTATAGTCGTCTCAACGTTGGACTCAACTAGATCACATCGCCATCAGCCACTGATGGAGAGGTTCGATAGAGGACTGCCGCTGGTATCGGGGCACATAATCAGATTAAGATCATGCCCTAGTGCGAGCGCGTATTTGTTTACGCCTTACTGGACGCCAGAAAAATATCGCAAGAAAACCTCTTAGGGCTTTACTTGATGGTAATCAAGCTAAGAAAATATTTCATAAAGAACTAGAAACAGTTGGGCAAGCCTGCAAATGATTCCTATCTGGAGGCACGTTGGAATGACATCAAAAAGGCTGTGGAAACAGCAGTGATATCTGCTAGCAAGGTAAACCACAAGGCTAGAATGAATCTGTGGATTTCAGTCGCATCCACCGAAATGTTGGATAATCGAGAACTCATCCCACCTGACTCTGGACATGATGAAGAGTTAAGTCAGCTTAGGCACAGACTGATAAAACACCTACGTAACGACCGTGAACAGTGTTGGGTGGCGAAAGCAAAATCGATGGAAAAGGCAGCTGCGATAGGCAACAACAGACAGTTGTAACGACTTATCAAGGAAACTCGTATAAGGAACCCAAAAGTGAGTGAGACTATCTCGTAAAAGGATGGTCTTATTATCCATTCTCAATCCCGGAGACTGGACCGATTAGCTGAACACTTAAGTGATCAGTTCAACTGGCCTCGAGCCACTCTTCGGTTACCCACGATCTCCAGTCATCCAGTCATGTCAAATCGACGTAATTCTTCCTAGTCTTGATGAAGTTTAGAATGCTTTAGGAAATCTGAAGCGAAGGCGAGCTGCAGGTCCTGATAGACTGACCGTTGAGATATTTAAGGATGGTGGCCCAGTTTTAGCAGCCAGGTTGACTGAGATCTTGGGTAGAATCTGGGAACTGGATGTGATCCCATCCAACTGGTCTCAATCACTGATTGTCCCAATTTATAAGAAAGGACAAAAGTCTTCTTGTGACAATCACAGGGGAATCAGTCTAACTAATATAGTATCTAAAGTCTTGGCCTCAATAATACTTCGACGCTTAACGAAAGCTGGAGAAGAGCAGACTAGAGAAAACCAGACTGGTGTTCGACCTGGACGTGGTTGTATAGACCACATCTTCACACTACGACAGATCCAGGAACACAGACACATATTTAGACGTCCTACAATGGTTGTCTTCCTGGACCTTAAGACGGCATTCGACTCAGTGGATCGTGAGGTTCTGTGGCAGTATCTGTCATTGAAAGGTGTAAAAAAGAAGTACATTAACCTCATACAAGCTCTCTACTCGAACACCACTGGTCGAGTGAGAGCTTATGGCGAACTGTCACCGAAATTCTTTACATCGAGTGGTGTCTGTCAGGGGTACCCTTATCCTATCGATTGGCGTTTGCCAACCTGCGTCACTTAGTTCGCCGTTCGCCAACCACAGGACGAGTGTATTGCACAGCAGTTTGCTCTGCCTCCCTATACGGATGAGAAACATGGCCGTTAAGAGTAGAGGACATTCGTAGGTTACTAGTCTTTGATCATAGATGTTTAAGAAGCATTGGTCGTGTATCCTGAGACGACCGAGTAAGCAATGCTGTCGTTAGGAAACGAGTTCTAGGTAAGGACGGCAAGCAGTAGATGAAGCATTCGAACTTCAACAGTTGAGGTGGTTGAGACATGTGTTACGTATGCCTAACCACCGACTGCCGCGACGAACTATGTTTTGTGGTGTAGGAGTAGGTTGGAAGAAGGTTAGGGGCAGCCGAACCAAAACATGGCAGAAATCCATGAAGTCACTGACAAGTGGACTGAGTCATGTTGGTAGATGTTGGCTATCTAGTTGGGGTCCGCGAGACGAACGTCACTAATGGTTAGAAACCCTGAAAGAAATGGCTCAGAATCATTTGCAATGGCGCAGGTGCATCCACTCTTTGTGTGCTTTTAAATTTCAACCTTCTGAATTCCACATATTCTCTATCTTTCTCCTTCTAAATTTATCTCACTCAATTATACTTTCCGAATGATATCTTCGCTCCCTAATCTTCTCCATTACTGTTATTAATTCTACTATCGCTATCACTCTTCGATTTGAACTGACATTTACGTCTCTGTGCTGGCGTGGTATGGCAACCTGAACTGATTTACTTATGTACGAAATTCTGCGTTGTATCTGCCTGACTGTCTACGGAGTGTTCTATGCAGCCAGCGAAACAGCACAATCTATAGAATTTTCTCCAACATCACTTTTAAAATGAAGTTCATTTAAATTACTTCATAAAACATAACGAAGCATATTCTAATTTGCGGGGTGGACAAGTTGTTCAGAGAGATTGTTACAGATCATTATAGCAATTCAAACAACAGAATAGACTGTAACTTGGCTTACGATGGTTTCGTTCGTTAGATTTGGTGGATAACCCAGCTACCCATTTTATCACTTAATCGGCATAAAAATTATGCAGTGCAGCAGAAAGCAGACATATTTATTTTAACGGTTCTCAATAGAACCCGTGTTACCAAGAAGCGTTGTGCGAAACAGTTCACATATATGCTCTTCGAAAATTTTGGTGATGTGTTGCTGTTAGGAAATATCATCGCCGATTTCAAATAAACTAACTGATCCCTAATGCATTTTATGCTTTAAATCATTCTCGTTTTTACTCAGACATACAGGCGATTGTTGCAAAAATCTTTGGAAAATGTTAGTCAAGATCACGATATGCTACTTGAATCTGATCGATCGTTCTTTCTTTCATTTGCAAAGGTAAGTTGAAGTTTTAACTTTCCGTTAATTCTCAGAACACAAATGGTGCATTTTTCAATATTACAATGAGTAATATTCACCATCTTTGAAAAAACATCATTCTTTCTTCTTCTTGAACATCGATGCGATTGACATACACATCAGCATTGTTCATTATATCAGTACAACTGAAATTCATTTGAAAATTGATATTTAAATCCAGTAACGGTATATACTATTCGTGTCATTCGTACAGTTATTTTGCCACCACATTTTAGCTAAGACAATTGATTCACAAACGAATTTCAAAACTGGTACATTTCCAGAACACAGCAATAACTTGGTTTGCCTATTCAACGTTCAATGATATTTGTCTAAATTTGTATGAGGCATATAGTTATTTAGAAATTTCTATAAAAACAACGTAGTGAATTAGATTTAAACCCAATGAGAAATTGACTAAGCTTCCCATTCACCTGAATAAATTCATCACCCACCATTGCGTTGCGAAATAACTCCATTTTAACATTTAGTAATACAAACTTTTATTAGTTTGGTCAGACAAACTGTAGGAGTTTAAAATTTAATGAAGCTCAAAAACCGAGATCACCACACATATCGACAAAACGGAAACTGTCAACTAAACTATGATCATTTGCAGAATATCGTTGTTTAAACTTTCACATTGTGTGTTGTCTTAAAAACTAACTTCATTTTCTTATGCTAATTAGGTATGCTTTCAATAAATTACGATAAATACACCATCAGCTTCAACATAATTATATCTTGTTTTATCATTACACAACTAACATTTTAATTGTCAACTGTTTTCATCATTTTAATTTTAAGAGTTTGTGTGGACATCATGGGGTCAATAGACTTCTAAAACACTCAATACAGGTGCCTCATGTTTTGGAAAAATATAGGTGAGGATTTTTTACCCTTCACATTACATTTGAATGATTATTTAAATAATTGTTGTCTTTAACTTAAGTTTTCACTACAGACATTGTAGCACAAAACAATACAAATATTCAGCATCATATTTCCGAACGGAAATGAACATTATCATCCTACAATACATTATTACTGGTACTTGTCCCATAAAGCGATCGCCTACATATTTTATCGGAGTTACGATAAATAATGGTCTGTAACTCCATTAATAATTGTCTTGTTTCTCTTCAATGTTATTCACTTTGCATTTTCGTTATCAGAAAAAAAGTTAGTATATAGTTCTACCAATTCATCAAACACTTTTATTTTCCCTACATTTTAAGAGTAATCGGGGCGGTATCTAACAGTAAAGAATTCTCACGGGCTTATGATTGTCCTGTTGATTCACCAATGAATCCAGCTAACAAATGCGATGTATGGTAAAATCACTATGAACCACATACTGGCTGTCGAAAATATATTTTGGAATACTACTTCAATTGACTGATTTCATTATTTAAACAAATCTTCAAAATTCAAATTTATCAATTCGATTTATTTTATTGTTTTCGATTACTTATTCTGATACAATTAATTCACCTTATTCTGTACTATGGAAAGCAAATCTTTAAAATATATAATTATGATAACCAGAGGAAATCTTATTCTGTATACAAACTAGCAATACCCACAACTGTTCAAATCGTACTCCAATAAAAGTCACAAAAAGACCACTGTTTATGTCAGAAAGAACATCGTGAGCACAATCCAATGTATTATATTTGAAGTTGTCCTTGAAACATTCTAAGCCACAATCATGAATTGAATAATCCACAAATTATAACTAGAGATTTATCAAACCAGGTTGTTCGTTAACAACACCCGAAAATAGGCAGTTTATGATCAGTCATACTCAATAAAGAAGCCTCAGTAGATTTAACTACAGCACTAAGATTTAAGGATTTCAACAATGTGGCATAAATGATAGATTTGACGCTGTCAGTGTCAGCATTCAAATCATGAGAAAGACATTCAAACAAATATGATCGTTTACGATTGTGAGCTGAATAACTCAAAGTTACGGATAGGATTGATATGTGATCGTTGGGATCGCTGAACTTCGTAAGGTCGATTTACAGGGTCTATCAGCACCAGTAGCGCTATGGAGAGTAGCTCTACACACCAACTGGATGTCCGATTTTGCTACGAACGAAGCGTTCGACATTACGAAATAAACATGGTCTATGTGAACGAAATTTATTAGGAAATAAGCTGCCACTGAACCAATCGTATCTGCATCCTTGACGTGGTGGTCGGGCTTGTACATCGTAATGACAAAACCAAGCTACATTAGCTGGGATGTAAGTTCCTCTTGGTCCTACCATACCAGACAGGTCGATTGGAGAACGATGAGACTAAATACAGGTACTCAAGTTCTAAGGGCACAGTCGTACTGCTGACTATAGAGTGGTGTGACAGCAGTAGGGTGTTTCCGTCGGACAACCAGCATCCAGAGCGATTTTGCTTTTCCATAAGGAAGGAAAGAGTTAGAAAAGGCCGACCCTGAAAATGTCACACCTCACCTTACTCCACGGATTTCCGTGTCTGGCGGTAGGGCCATCTGAAGAGCGGAGCTAACACTTCTAAGAAATCCGACATGGGATTGCTATCACAGATAGAGTTCAATCAATCAACAAATGTTCTTTACAATAGGCACCAACGATACGAAAGGCAGGTATATAAATCCGATAGTGTTAATGAATAAAATTCCAGGCCAGTATTCCCACGTAGTGAGGAGAGCACTAAAAGAAATTTCGAAACACTATTAAAATATCGAAATCACAGCTCGTCACCAATGAAGCATGAAAGTGAATAGCGAAGGTAGAATTTATTTTTACAGCAAAAGCAACTCAATTAACCAATCAAGCAGTGTTCATTTACAATCGATACAAACGGAAAATAGATAATGAACATGAATTTGAACACACAAGCAGCATCACAAACAAACAGAAAATATCATTATTATTAGGTGGTGAGAAAATTATTAAAACGTATGTAGTGTTTTCACTTATAAGAAGAAAAACACAATTTGTTAAATAGCAACATTGGTTATTACATTCAATCGTACCAGTGAACTTTTACTGAACATTTTTTTATTCGTACTCTTGTTTTACGTTAAGACCTGTGCACTGACATTACACTACGATCACGCGCTTCTCCTCTTGAACGTTGCCCTCTTGTTTTGACTGCTCTGTACGTCCGTTCAATTCTCTTGCACGTTTCTGTACTTCGTCTATATCGGTAGCAAATAGACCTATTTCATCTAACCTAACCCGTCTTCTTCTTTCCGATAAAAGAACTCTGATAATGCTTGAGACCCGAAGTTAATTGGTTTATAGACGTATTCATAGTCCTTCGACTCGTACATCTATACGTTTGACTGACACTATACTGTTCTCATTATTACGATAAACTGAATTGTTTGTTCAAATTTTCAGCTTGCCATTTTACGGAATTCATTAATTTACAATGTATGGAATTTGAAATTACATGCTTTCAAAACTATAGAATGATTTCCATGAATATTCAAAGTCGATATTATAAAACATTGACACAAATGCAGACAACAGGAAGCATGTGAAATACTTTACATAATATTCACTTTTTAGAACATGATAACTAAATAGCACCGACATATGTTATCAATGAGTGTGTTTAATTGATGGACATACGTCGTAGTTAATTTTATATTCTCTAAATACCAGACACTCGTGGCAGCGGAATAAATCACGCCTCAAATTTCGTATGTGCGTGTTCAAATGCACTGAAAATCAGTTTTGTAGTCTGTAACACCAGATAATTCTATTTACAAAGTTGCAATCGATAGCGCACATTAACACCACTGAATGATCTTTCGGTAATCTAGAGATTGGGCGTTTTCACGCCGAACTGATGCTTCCGAACTTGATCCTCGTGAGCAGTGCAGAGCTAAGGCAAAATCGCCGCCCAGTTGTTCCAGGTTTTCAATGGTTGTGAAATTAAGATCAGTTCGCGATCTTGATAATAATTTTATTCATTTCACTCACAGAATCATCATTTTATTTTAATATATATCGTACTGTTGAGCGATGGAACTGAGAGCCTCATATATTTAAATGGTTCCAAATAACATTATTTGGTCGATGGTTGGTATTACAAGTTCATTTGACCACATATAAACAAAATAAAATACAACGTTATTATATTCTCTGGATATACCATTGTTTCCACATTTCTATCAAAAATAAAATGTTAGTGAAAAAATTACTTGCCTCTCAATATTCAGTTAAACAACTTCCATACACATGTTGAGTAAATTTCGATGTATAATATGCTTGTAATTTATATCATATTCAGTAGACACTGACCAGGGTGAAATTTCGGCAATCATACATAATTGCTTTGTTAACGACTTGTGAGTAAAAAAATTTAAGAGCCTTTCCAGAATTATATATATTTAAATATATATATATATCAACAGACTAATGTGATGTTTCTCTGCATAGAAATTCACTGTTCATCTTAAATTTATCATACTACGGCTTCTTTTATAGTTTCATTCTTTTCGCCTAAATATTTTATAATTTATCTAAACATAGTTTGACTATAACAAAGTCAGTGTTTTTTTTTCAGTACAACAATTTATAAATCGGACTAATTGTTTTATATTGCTACAAAGAAAATATTGACATTTTCGATTGTATTTGTGGGAGTCCTTGATTTTATTAGTAACCGGCAGCTGTTAAATTATTATCGAATATTTTAAGCAATGTGACCCTTTGGCAAGTTTGGAAAGTTTAATATGAGGACAAAGATTATCAAAACTATTGCATACATTAGCACAATACATTTTGAACAATACGATCACACAAATACATTTATATACATGTTTCCGTAATATTGCTTTATGATTCAGTGTGGAGAGTATCACATTGCTTTTCACAGTATTTTCTCTCATATACTTGCATCCTCTTACAGTCCATTAGTGTAGTGAACCTTTAATTTCTCCTATATAAAGGTTTCTAACAAGTATGTCAGTGATCAGATGGCTGGAAATGTATGGTGCTAATATTTTGCACAATTTCGCTAATACTTATCTTCTTTCTACACCATCCACATAATGAATAGTTGAGTTGATTGATATAAAATATTCAGTTGAGTTAGTTGGCAGACTTTGTGACCCATGGATTATGATTCACTGTATTCTATTCGGCTTGAGACAGAATTATGTTTCAAAAGTAATTCAACGATGCCACAATAAATATACGTTAGCTACACCATGCAACAAACTGGTTACTAAGTAAATAAAAGTAGTATAAAGCAAATTACTAAAAATAGGAAAAAAAATACCATCCACAACAGCACTCCATTTAACTTGCAAAGAATTACTATCGTTCAAGGATTGCATGAAGAACTCTACAACTAATAAATAGTGATTCGTAATGCACTACAAATTTTATCATTTCTGCACTTAAGATTATAATAACCGATTAGTATGAGAATATTACGATATTATGTTATACCTAACAAACGGTCGAGACACAAAGGTCTCACTGTTCGCTGAAATATATTCTTCAGTAGCGACCCTAACCAGTACTGTGAAGCAATGATCAAGATAAAAAAAGAAACTGAAAATCATTTTGTAATTAAACAATATATTCCAACGATTCCAAGGCATTTGTTAGGAAACTAGGTGAATACTATGGGTAAATGGCCACGTACTAAAATACATACACACTCGTTGGCGTAGCTTCTTATTGCATTTCATATGCAAAAGGATAACGAGCCTGATAAGCAAACATCCGTTTGTAAATGTAATGTTTAAATTCAAGGCTGGCAAAACATTTCGTCCATAGCATGCCTAACTATCGACATCACTAGCTACGTAATGACTACATTTAAAGACTATATTAAATCTCAACATATATTCAGTATAACTCATGTTGATACAATTTCCTTCTAAATATGGTGAGAGATTTGGAAGGTCAGGATTTCATAGCAGACAAAGAATGAATGGACCTGCATCATTGCAAACGATTTTGACCCATACCGGTCGAGATCTCTAACCATCGATAACTGTCGTCTCGCGGACCCCAACCAGATAATCGACACCTACTAATATGGCTCAGTCCACTTGTCAATGACTTCATGGATTCCGGCCATGTTTTCGGTTGGCCGCCCCTAATTTTCTTCCAACCTATTCCAACATCGCAAAACATAGCTCGACCAGGCATTCGGCGGTTAGGCATATGCAACACATTTCCCAACCACCCCAATTAATGAAGTTTTAATATCTCATCTATTGATCTGCCATTCTTACCTAGGACCCGTTTCCTAAACACTGCATTGCTTACTCGGTTTCCCCTTGATACACGAGCAATGCTTCTAAAACATCTATGATCAAAAACCATCAACCTACGAATATCTCCTACCCTAACTGACCATGTTTCACAGCCATAAAGTAGGACGGAGCGATCTACTGAGCAATACACTGGGTCTTTGTTTAGCAGACATATATCTTGCCTACATCATAAGTGACGCAAGTTGGCAAAAGCCAATCAAGGCTCCTCTATTCGTGATGACATTTCGTCAAACACCAGGCCATCAGCACTGATGAGACTCCCAAGATAAGTGAAGCGGTCAACACGCTCAACTGCATCACTCCCTATCGCTAGTTCAGTGCCGATACAAGCCAATCCTGAAGCAAAATTTTGCATTTCGACGGGGAGAATTGCATCCCAAACATGCTTGCATTGTTGCTTGGGGTAGTCAGAAGACTGAATTTTGTCAGCGTCCTAACCGAATAGAACTATATCATCGGCATATTCGAAGTCAAACAGTGAATCTCCTGATAGAGGGTCCACTACTGAAAAGTTGGACGATGATACAGTTAACTCTAAAAGTATATCTGCGACAAAGTTAAACAAGGATTGTGAAATTGGATATCCCCGATGTGACTGATCAAAGTGTATTGTGCTTATGTATCACATGGTTGCAATAAGCTTTTACCTCTCACCTAACGTTATCCAAATGGTTAACTATCTTCTTAAAATATTTTTCAAGTTATCACAATAGTACCTTGAATAAGTACAGTGATTTGAAATATTTGAATGACAGAGATAAATATAGTAGAAGATTACAACTGCAACAAGCCAAACTCTGAAACACTCCTCATAACACACTAATTTATCTGCAATTGTATATATGCATTTGAGGATAATATAGAAGAAAAATAAAACGGTTAGTTATATAGAAAATTATCAACATTTATACTGATGATTTAGTTTTTTCTGTGCTTTTCTAAGCATATCTTCGACAAAAGCTGTTGGAGAATTTAAACCACATCGTTCAGCGAAATTGGAACTAGTTTTGGAATCAGTTCCTGCCAAATTTTTGTCTAAAAATTCCAAATAAAACGTATCGTCCATGCAAACATTCCTCTTTGTGCTTATATCATCTAGAACACTGTCTTTGGATTCGGGTAGATTATGTTTGCCATTATATGGATGAGGAATAGTTGAAGCATTAGTTAATTTTTTAGTACTATTAACTACTGGACAATCATTATCCCAATTAGTTGTTTCAAGACCTAAAGGATCATAAAATATATTGAGCATATTTGATTTCGATTGACCAATATCAGTATTTTCTGAGTTTACCTATTAAAAAATATAAAAGTTTGCGAATTAAAATATCCAGTGAAATATTAAACCACAAATAAATAAACGAAAAATATTCTTTTCAATCAATTCTCTTCAGGTTCTACAAATATATATTCAGTAATCCAAAGAGATGTCAGGTTAGAAAATATCGCATGAGAAATTAGGATTGTTCGTAAAATAAATCGTTAATGTTTGGATGACTTGTATGAAGTGTTCTTTTGAATAAGTTTATATAAAAAATGAAATTGCGAAATTACTGATCAGAATAAATATGGTTAACATGTTGTAGGAGGCGATAATGTAATTACAAATGAAGAATCACATAATATATAAAATAGCATGACTGAAGTACCAATTAGTGAATAGGAGTGGATGTTAAAAATATTTCTCAAAACATTGCAAGCGTCATAATAATACTGGCAATAATATTAATAAGGACAACAAGAATCAAACTATTATCATCGAAATCACGATTGACTTATTATCAAGGTAAAAGGAGTGATTGAACAAATTACTTTTGGACATAAAGCTCCAGACTTTTGATCTGAATAGCTATTGACTAAACTGTCTGAAAGACTTTGAGCATGACTATTTTAAGCAGACTGCTGTTAAGATGTTACATCATTGAAAATGATTGCTCTTTGTTGGCTACACACAGCCTAAGAACCATCAGACCGAAACAAATTTATATGATTTTGATCGATACACATTTCGCCTTAAATTTGGCCACTTTTTGAATGTCTTGATTTGAATGCATAAATGTCCAATCTAGTGAAAAGTATATTCTTTATTCATCTTCCTGTTTTTTTTAATAAAATGGAAACTTTTCAAAGATTGAAAAACTAGACGATGAAATGTATGAACATTCTAAATTCATGGGCAATAATTTGAGAAATCGCTTTTCTTATATCTACATTGAACATTCAATCAATGAATTGTGGGCTCGAAATCCACCCACTGATTTTCAGCAGAGGCGATGTTATTACACATTGTACTTTAGCAATACCTATCAGCTATTATCATTACTGTTATTATTTTAAACATCATTTAGAAATTATTCTTTGTAGTTGCTGAACAATAATCCGCAATAAATGTGATATGAACCCATTTTTTATGAATGAGAAAGTAAGTAGGACAACGTAAATCGACACATAAACACTGAATTTGAAACGAAATGAAATCTGTCACATTCATATTTAGTTTATCAGCATCAAGAGACCTTTCTAAATTTACCAGGTCAACAAACTTTCAGAAGACCCAATGTTGTGTTCTGATCATCTCAAATCCTTTCCTAAAGTATCTTAGTGATGATAGACTTAAGGTTTGAAAGAAGACTTTGGATTTCGTGGACTGAGTTCATCAATTTAGGGCACCCATCTGATTCCAACTAAAGAGATGATCTCAAGTTGCATATACCACTCAGATTAAATGAGCATTGACTTTCTGACTTATCAACTTGGTCAAAAAAAGATATTTGAAAGTTGAAAAGGTAATATTATGAGGATACGTATGTTTCATGTTTCCCTATCGACAAAAAAAACTGAGAGAGGGAGTTATTGTATGTAGCGTGAACTTTGGTTATTGCTAAGAGATTTGAGAAGCTTGTTTAATGGAATTCTAGATTGGTCTCGTGTACCGTTACGAGTTTGAGGGTAGATGTCACTTCCTGAGTGTCCTCATCGTGAAAGTCTGTTTCTTCAGGAACCTGAAAACAAGTTGAATCATTTTCGGTCTTAGAGCGTGATCGCAGAGCCCAAGAGACAACTGCTTCAAGCTGATCACAAACAGCCTTTGTGTGCGATTTTTCGTGATTTTTAGCTCCGCCTTTCTGCCAGAGACAGAAATCCCTGGAGTAAGGTGACATTTTTAGGGTCGACATTTTCTAACTCCTTCCTTTCTTGTGGGAATACAGCATAACTGTGCATGTCAGTTGTCCAACGGAAACACCTTACTACTGTCACACCACTCTACAGTCAGCAGTATGACTTCGCCCTCAGACCTTCAGTTGCTGCTCTTAGTCTCACCGTTCTCCAATCAACCTGTCTGGTATGGTAGAACCAACAATAACATGTGCTACAACCAATAGAGCTCGGTTGAATCATCACAAGCAAACACGACTACCACGTCAACATACCAACTACGTTCGGGATCTTTCCGATTACTGATCATACTTTTACTACCTCTACTACTATAGGATTTGAATCGGCAATCGTACCTCTGGGTTACCGTGGTATGGCAACTTGAACTGATAGACATACGCACGAACGTCTACGTTGTAGCTTACTGACTGTTTCATGGGATTAAGTGAGATATAACAACATAGACCTTCGTAATTATTGCAATACTGAGTCACCTCTCTTACATAATTTACAAACTTGTTAAAACATAAATCATACAGCGGTTTATGGACATCAAAGTATCTGTGTTACCATGTTTTGGCTTTTTTCACTATCCATAAGAAAATGTCCATTATTATTGCGTTTGAAGCCACTTTCATTTTTAATAGAACCTCCAGTAGTAATTTGTTTTGATGATGACTTGTAATCTTTCTCCAAAGATTCCCTTGATCTCCGCACAAGCATGTATGGAGGTGAGTCAGACGGATAATGTAAGGTTTCGTGCTGGGAATTCGATGTATGAATTGGTGATAAGCTAGGATATTCATTAGACGTATAAGTGTCCTATAACAAAGTGAGAAGCGATTGACGTCAATTTGGTAATAATAAGCACGGAATAAACTTACAAAAACAGTCGCTGTCTTCTATTTTGCATATATTAAAGCTACACAGAAGTTGAAAATTTCAAAAATGCCCAAACTTGATTTTCGCTACATAATTATTACATGATTGATTTGTAACCAGTTGATAGATCAGTTACAGAAGCTAAAAAATGAGACTAACACCATTGAAAATGATAATAAATGGACCACCGAAAACTAGACCTTGCTTATGAGTCAGTCCAGTATGAGACTGATTAACTTCAGCCAAGTGTCACTACAAATACCTTGCACACAAAGTGAATAGTCTGTGGCGTTAAACTTTCGTTATCTTTGATTTCCCGTATATCTCCGTCTCCATGATCGCTACGAGAGAACACGAGTCGTTGCCACAATTTCTTTATTATTCAAATTATTTAATGATCGATACAAATATCGGATTTAATTCAAAGCGTACATGCGCATACAAGCTCAACAATGATAAAAGTACATGATATATGTGAGGTGCTACAAGTCAACCCATTCACATTGGAACCATCCGATGAATCGTCTTATTCTGTTTGATTCTAATAACATGGTATTTATTGGTAGGATTAGTCTGCATTTAGATTGTGTCTACTTTACCTGGTTTATAGGTATGAGACTCCCGAAACCTAGAAATCATCGTTGATCACTGATCGACTGGAACAATATTACTTGTAAACAACAGTCAAAAGACTTTACAAAACATCGAGTTTATGCCAGCACTGATGTCAAGGTCGATCATTGTTATTTCACAGTTGACAGCATATAACATCACACCGGGTTAAAATAAGTAACCATCATCTGAATAAAAATAGCTACCAAACATTACGAGCTTCCATTTAGTTCAACTACTGTCGAGATGTCTGATAGTAATGCACAATAAGTATCGATTCTTCAGAGATGAATGAAAAACCTGACTAACACAATATCAATAAACATGAATGATGATTGATGGATTGAGTTATGTAAGAGGAGCTCAAATTGAATGAGCGACATTTCGGTAACATCAGAAATTCCCATTTCAATGTCCACTTAATATTAGTATGAATGAAAAACTTGAATTACGCAATGTAGAACCTACAGTTACCGACTGTTCAATATTTGAGAAACCTATACTAAGATAAACGAGTATGGTCAACAGACAATGTCGAATGTACCAGATCGTATCACAGGATCGAATCCAAATTTTCATAGGATTTTGCATGAATTTTTCATTAAATCTCATGAAGTAACAAAAAGTAACAGTGCTTACTTTATTTACATCGGAATCATCCCTACAATAAGAAGAACGAAATGAAAAAAATAGTCAGGAACGGAAACCATGATTTTAAAAATGGCCTAAATATCCTGTATCGGAAATTAAGTTTCTCCAAAACTCACATGTTACATGTCCATATACATATGTTGGTAAATCAAACAGCAGTTAGTCATACATGGTGAGCACCACACGTCAGTCTATTCTGTCCTGGGCTTCTCTTGCCAGTTCTGTCCAATTTTTGTTTATGCTTCTCATATCTTTCTTTCTCTTTTCCTTTTACCTTGAGGGCTCCAGTTGGGTGCTTTATGCAGTGTGTCCTATCCACTTCCATTGCTTCTTCCTGATTTCCTCCTCCATTGGAATCTGGTTGGTTCACTTTCTCAGTAGGTTGTTGCTGATCGTGTCTGGCCAACGAATCCGAAGTATTTTGCGTAGAAAACTGTTAATGAATACTTGTATCTGCTGGATGATGGCTTCCATAGTTCTCCAAGTTTCCGCTCCATACAGTAGAACTGTCTTGATATTTGTATTGAAAATCCTGACTTCGGTTTTGGTTGAAGGTTGTTTGGAGTTCCAGATATTTCTCAACTGTAGAAATGCAGCCCTTGATTTGTCGATCTGCACCCTCACATCTGCATCGGATCCACCTTGTTTGTCGATGATGCTGCCCAGATATGTAAAGGTGTTAACGTCCTCCAAGGCATCTCCATCAACAGTGATTTAGTTGGCACATGTACTGTTGCATCGAAGAATCTTGCTTTCCCCTATATATATGTTGAGACCTGCTGCTGCTGCAGAGGCTGCTGATAAACTGGTCGTGTTCTGTCGCATTTGTTGTTGCGTTTGCGATAGAAGAACCAGGTCATCTGCGAACTCCAGGTCTTCCAGCTACATCCTGGCTGTCCACTGTATTCCGTGCTTCCCTCCATATGTTGACGTTTTCATAATCCAGTTAATCACCAAGAGAAAGAGAAAGGGTGAGAGTAAGCAACCTTGCCTGACACCGGTCTTCACCTCAAAGGAGTCTGTTAGCTGTCCTCCGTGCACGATTTCGCAGTCTAATCCATCAAAAGAATTCCATATGATGTTGACTATCTTCTCAGGTACGCTGTAGTTTTGAAGAAGCCTCCATAGTGTTGTCCTGTCCACGCTATCAAATTCTCTCTGGTAGTCGATGAAGTTGATGTAGAGTGGTGAGTTCCATTCAATTGATTGTTCCACAATGATCCGTAATGTAGCGATTTGGTCAGTACACGATCGATCCTTACGAAATTCAGCCTGTTGATCTCGAAGTTGGGCGTCCGCGAATACCTTCATTCTGTTTAACAATACCTTGTTGAAGACTTTGACTGGTATTGAGAGAAGAGTGATGCCTCGGTAGTTTTTACACTTACTGAGATCGCCTTTCTTTGGTACTTTGATCAAGTATTCTTCTTTCCAGTCTGATAGTACTTGTTCTTCATCCCAAATCTTCTTGAAGAGAATGTAGAGTATTTTTGCGGTTTCCGCCACGTCTGCTTTCATTGCCTCTGCTGGAATGTTGTGTGGCCCCGCTGTTCTGCCACTGCTCATTTAACTGAAGGCAAGACTGATTTCTTCAAATGTTGGTGGGCCAACAGTGTTTGGGTGGCCCGTGGACGCTGGCTTCGATGTTGGGTGGGTTCAGTGGAGCTGGTAGATTACAGTATTCCTTAAAGTGCTCTACCCACTTATTCCGGTGTTCTTCAATGTTACTGATTTCTTTACCTTCCTTGCTTTTCACTGGTCGTTCTGGTTCACGATAGTTTCCAGCGAGCTTCTTTGTCATATTGTACAATAGTCTCAAGTTTCCTTCTCTTGCAGCTTTTTCTGCCGTCATTGCTAGATCTTCCACAGATTTACGTTTGTCAGCTCTGGTGCTCTTCTCCACTTGCTTGTTTGCTTCTGTGTATTTAGCTTGTGCTTTGACACTCTCTGCTCTTGAGTGAAGATGCCAGAGAAGAATATATCGTAATAGTATTAGGTAGTGAATTGGCAGACAGAAAATAGAAAAAATCATAAGATGATTTGAAAATTTAGAAACTAGGGGGTACAGTGTGAATACACATGTGCATGTAAACGAATATGCTCCAATAATCCAAATAATTATATGAAAGAACATTCAAGAGAGCAGATGAAATTATTTGTATCATGTCTTTACAAAGTGAAAATTACTAGTGTCTGACATTAAAGAACGCAATATAATCTTGTCCTTAAAAATGAAATTATGACTGCCATAGAATGATAGAATGTCTATTTCAGATTTTCGACCACCTTCAAAACACGTAAAATCCAAACTGAAATATCTCAATGATGAACAAGTTATTTTTGCAAGAAAAAAAAAGTGTAACTCCGATTTATTCATTCATCCTTCAGATGATGATGAACGAACACCAAACGTGAATTTATTCTGACTTATGGTCAGAAAGCATGTGACTATCCAATCAGTCATTTTTATTCTAATGATTGAATACTTCTCATAGACAATTGTGACCTACACATGGACGTTTTCCATACGTAACACTGAGGTGGTCCATTCATTTTTCAATGCACAGTAATTGTGCAGTATTCTGTATCTTCGAACATTTTTACCTTTATTCAGTAGGTGTTGTTTACTTAGTTTAATAATAATATACGTCCTTGTCTCTCATGATGGGATGCACTATACTGATGTATTTATAGCAGGCAGATTAAGATAACTTTTGATGCTCAAGATCAAATCTCCAGTGTAGACTACACTCTGATATACAATACTTGCCCTGTAAATGTGAGTAAAAGTAGTTGGAAATTCTGGATAGTATACAGTTGTTGAATACGAATACATGACCTCGCACCATTAATGACACTAAACATATGAGCGCTTTGTCTGTATACATGTAGTCACCTACTTCTCTCATCTATCGTTCTTGAGACAGACATCGCCAACATAAAGCCTGACAGACGATTGGAGTTACTACGACAGATTAGAGTAACGAGATGAAGAAAGAAAACAAATTGAAATAATGTAACAGAAGTGATATATATATATATATATATATAAATATATATATATATATATATATATATATTCCGAAATAATTGAAGAAGCTAAGAAACATTTTCTGGTCTTAAAATAACTAAAGGAGTTTGAGCCAACTAATATTACAAAGACTGTAAACTAAAGAACAATACCAGTATAATAAGTATAACCGACTTACACTAGGCATGCCTTTGTTTTCCCCAAAACTGATTGTGACCTATCGAAAATCCGATTAACTTTTTCGTCTCCATCAAGTGAAGTGTTAAATATCGAGGAATCCTACATGAAGTTTTTTAAAAAAGCAATGTCTATGAGTGTAAAACATGATTTGAATGAAGTGCTAATCAAATAAACGACAAAAAGGTATTATAAAATGAGAAAATGTATTTTGACTCCTTTTCTAATTCTATTAATGATAAATCTAACAGGTACACAAACTGAATAATAATAATACAGTTATGTCTTCAAAACGTACTCAGTATAAAGTGGGTTGCTTAACATGGCAATTCCATACCGCTGAGGAGTTTCAAGACCATAACAAATAATTGCTTGATACCGTCTGACACATGACTGCGAAAACTACTGGCCAATGGTACTACGCAGCTAACCTACAACCACATTTTCTTGCAAAAGCTGAGGCTAAGTTAGACAAGTGGATTTTAATATTATTCGTTTGCCTTTTCAAATATATTTTACTAGTCGTTAAATCGCAGAATTACGAAGATAATGAAGTTATTTGATCAATGCCTTTCAATGAAACACTTGCAGCTGGTAAAATTATGTAACATATTCAAACATATTCGCAGAAACCGAGTACTTACAACTTTTCCTAATAAAGTGTCATCATCAAGTGTTTTTCCACATTGTAAAATGGTTTGAAACCCAGGAAGTGAACGATTGGCTTTGCGTACGGTAGATCCTGACACTTCCGCTGTGAAGTTCAGATCACCTTTCATCACTTTTCCATACTTCAGTTCTTCATTATTCAGGACACAATTTGAGGCAGATACAACAGGATCAGGAATTCTGAGAAAATAAATATAATTTAAGTCACAGGTGAAATTTTTTAATCCAAATAAGAAATATTCTACCTAACAAAGTAGTTCTGGTAGCTTACAATACCTTGTTCATTTTTTCTATTCAATAAATAGAAGACTTGGAAGAAGTGGACACCAAAAATGTGTTTGTCATATAAGTAAGATCAGGTTATTGTGTATAAACACCTCAGAGTGGTTACATACAACCACCTCTCCCTAATCAGAAAAAATAATTCAAATCATTTAAACTCTGCTGTGGGAGTTAAGTCCTCATTTAAAAGAGCTATGACGTCTCATGACAAAGCCGAGTTTCTTCGGAAGTTACGAGGTCGATGCTCCTTCTAACAACCAGAGCTCTCCCTCGTTGTGATCAGCCGGGAAGTAACATCCGCTCTCAAACCCATAAAAGCACACGAGACTAAATCGGCCAGAAGCAAATCCTTTGTGCACCTAATAACTCTCTAATCACCACAATCAACCTTTCTTTTGATCGTTTATCACCTCGAGTGACTGAAGCAAACGGTTCGAGCTCACGAAACGTTATTCCTGGTCTCCTGAAATCCCGCCCTAAACTACACGTTGGAGCTTTTAATGTTCGGACCCTGTGCCAAAAAGGGCAACAGGCTTTATTAGCTAGAAAACTGAAATCCTGTGCGATCGATGTATGTTGTGTCTCCGAAACTCGCATACAAGATCCGAATAAAATCATCAGTTTGATTTCAGTTTGTACAGATAGAGAAACAACACGGTTTACGCTTCATGTTTCCGGAAGCCCTGATGCTGCTTCCCGTAGCCTAGCTGGTGTAGGTATAGTATTAAGTCCTAGGGCAGAACTAGCTATCTTAGACTGGATCCCAGTAGACGGTCACTTATGCGCTGTCCGACTAAACGGGATGGTACGGACTCGTAAAGATATAAAAACTCGCCGTTGCCTCTTCATTGTATTTGCCTACGCTCCCACTGACTGCAGTTCAGACGAGATAAATGATGAGTTTTACAGAAACCTCTGTAAACTTTTTCAAAAAGTTAGGCACTCTAATATAGTAATAATAGCTGGCGACTTTATTGCTCAAATAGGTAGAATAGGTGTAAAGGAAAGACACCTGGGTGGATCTAATGGTGTCGTGGCCCAAATATCAGATAATGGCGACCGCCTACTGCATCTGTGCTCAGATAATCGACTATTTCTAGAAAACACTAACTTTAAGCATAAGGAAAAACATCTCTTGGCCTGGAAAGCCTCAGAGCCGGCCCAACGATGAATCCAGGTCGAGTGACAGCTCATGGCAAACTGTCGACGGAATTATTTACTTCAAGTGGTGTTCGTCAGGACTGTCCACTATCTCCCTCTTGTTTAATTTTGTGGTAGACATGCTTTTAGAGTTACCATTATCGTCGTCTGACTCTTCCGGACTGGACTTTCCACCAGCAGATTCACTGTTTGACTTTGAATATGCCGATGACATAGTTCTATTCGGTTAGGACGCTGACAAAATTCAGTCTTCTGACTACCCAAGCAACAATGCAAGCATGTTTGGGATGCTATTCTCCCCGTCGAAATGCAAAATTTTGCTTCAGGATTGGCTTGTATCGGCACTGAACTAGTGATAGGGAGTGGGGCGATTGAGCATGTTGACCGCTCCACTTATCTCGGAAGTCTCATCAGTGCTGATGGCCTGGTGACTGAAGAAATATCAGCACAGATGCAGAAAGCTCGATTGGTTTTTGTCAACTTGCGTCACTTATGATGTAGGCAAGATATATGTCTGCTAAACAAAGACCCAGTGTATTGCTCAGTAGATCGCTCCGTCCTACTTTATGGCTGTAAAACATGGTCAGTTAGGGTAGGAGATATTCGTAGGTTGATGGTTTTTGATCATAGATGTTTTAGAAGCATTGCTGGTGTATCATGGGACAACCGAGTAAGCAATGCAGTGTTTAGGAAACGGGTCCTAGGTAAGAATGGCAGATCAGTAGATGAGATATTAAAACTTCATCAATTGGGGTGGTTGGGAAATGTGTTGCATATGCCTAACCACCGAATGCCTGGTCGAGCTATGTTTTGCGATGTTGGAATAGGTTGGAAGAAAGTTAGGGGTGGCCAACCGAAAACAAGGCCGCAATCCATGAAGTCATTGACAAGTGGACTGAGCCATGTTAGTAGGTGTCGATTATCTGGTTGGGGTCCGCGAGACGACAGTTATCGATGGTTAGAGATCTCGACCGGTATGGGTCAAAATCGTTTGCAATGATGCAGGTGCATCCATTCTTATTTTCTCTCTGAATTCCTCATCACTTTTCCTTTCAAGGTTATTCCACTAGATCCTACTTCTTAAATAATATCGTAGAACCCTAATCTCTCTGATTACTGTTAATACTTCTTTTACCTCTATACTATGGGATTTGAATTGACAACTGCGTCTCTGTGCTAATGAGGTATGTCAACCTGAACCAATGTACGTACGTACGATTTTCTACGTTGTAACTGACTGACTGACTTCGGGAATATGTAACTACTTTTATAGGCAATTATAACCGCCCTCAAGATGTACCAAGCTTTGTAGCATCTCACCATTCACTCACTGTACTTCGATGATTAGTTGTTGAAATTATCCGATAATAGGAACGACAATTTTATATATTTGTAACAATTCGATTGTAGTATCGATTATTGTATATCTGATCGTGTGGATGCTTACTCGCTTATCACATGTCTAGCTTATTATTGCCTGACTACAAATACTTAGTCATTGCTTCGATGCTGGAGAGTTGGCTCACTTGCCGTCTCCGATTCGCTTCGCTTTGCTTGTACGCTTTCCATTCTCATGTCTGTCTGCATGAAATAAATTACTCCGAAACACCATATTCGGCTTCTTACTAACGCCGTCGCACGAACGGGGTTTGCCTACGTATGACATACGGAAGTGGACAGGAAGATTTATTTTATTGCACACTCGATCATTCATCCACACTGAAGTCCAGTCCTACAGTAAAAAGTAACTACTCGGTTTAGATCTTTACAAAACGAAATAAAATGTTAAAAGGACAGTCAACTATGTGCTAACCTCAGTCCCTTCTTAAGCGACACAATAGGCATTGGAGATTTAGCTGAATCCTTCTGAGCACAAGTGAGTTAGCTATCAAATATACCTCTCGAAAAATCCATCTGTCTCTGATCCATGACTCGGCACTTTGAAATGGCGATGGAAAAACACTTAGCATCCCAGGAGGAGCAACTGATTGAAATACAAAAACCAGAATAATCTAACCTTTTTTAACATACGATACCATATGAATCATCTCCAAAGTCAACTCGCATTGATTAGATGGAGTTAAGTCAGCAACAAGTCGATCAAAACTCCAATCAGACTTGCAACGTAACTGCCAGACACGGGCGCGTGCCTGCTCGAAATTTTGTTCACCATCGGGACCATCAAGTATCTGAATGATAGATATACAAATAGCGAACGTTACAGTAACTGGGAACGAGAAAATTTCACCCGATGACATCTGGAGGTAAGTAAAATCAAAACATTAGCCAGTTTTTTTCCATAGTTAATAACTTGCTTAAACTACATAGCATATGATTATAGGGAACTGACAGCAATAAGACTATACTTCATAAAACGAAGTAAAAATAAAACTAAAAACATAAAATACAAGGAAAGGTTTGCGTAGTACAAATAGCCATACTGCAATTAAACTTTAATTATTTTGAATGTCCTGACATGACTGAAGCTCGAGTGATTTGCGCACATATACTAAGCTTTAATCAATTAATCATATGTAGTGTAGGACCTGGAACATGTACACAACGGTTCGTTGCGATACCTTATTAACACAGCAGGAAGGAACAGTAATGGTGAGAACAAAAATCATAAAATAAAAAGGTTAAAATTCAAAAGACAGTGGTCAGTTAACAAGTACAGATTTTCGTTATCAGTCTCCGGCTACACTGGTTTAAGCAAATATTTATTTAAGCATAGACATCTGTACCAAGGAGCACCAAAACATATATGCCCCAAAACAATGAATTCGTGTAGACCGAGATACTTTTCGGATGTCCAAACCGATAAAAATGGTTCCCTCAGGAGGTTACTCCTAGAGTCTTTGACGCAGATATCTAGTTTACGGTACAGTGGGATAACATTAGGATGGATATACGATCTCATGGTAGCCAGTAGTTACAAATGGGTTTGTACTCCATTCGTTCCCTTTGGCTCCTAAAGCCCACATGCACTACGTTTGATATCAGGATTAAATGAACCACTCATGCGACCTTCCTGTAAGCATCAATATTGCCGAAGCAGGATTAGAGCCGAAGGTTTACTAGCTGGAAGTCAGGAACTCTGGTCACTAAGCACTGCCCATATTTTAAGGGATGATCGTCTCGATGTAACAAAGCTTGCTTATCGGACTAACTGGGCAAGTTATAAACAAATATATACTCCAGCCAATTTTTAGAAGTATTTCAAGATACTCCTGAAATTTGCCCTCTTAAGACTTTGAGGCAATACATTTTGAGTCATAGGTCACAATCTACGTAAAATTTATTTTGAGAATGAACTACTTCGTAACATTAACAATAAACAAGTTCCTAAAGAACTAATTTACAATAATACTTTTGAATGTAATCAATGTAAAAGCAGCTTTAGGATGAGCGAGCTGATCGCTAACGTTCCCAAACGATAATGCGGCAAGGTAACATTGTATTATACTTGCCTACACAGTTAAAACCTTAACTCACAAGTGACTAAATCTTCAATACGTAAACTTAACCTTCTCTCTTTACGATAAGGAATTATCTATCATAACAAGAACACTATCCCGAGGTAATTTTATTGCTAGTTATTGTTAATTTTTTTAAGATTAGGCACTGACTGGCCTGAAAATATCAAAGTTGTTAGTGTAATATACTTCAACCGTTGAACCTTGGTGAGTTATAACATATTCCCTAGTCAGACCACAAGTCACCGGAGTAGGACCAAATGTCTGCTTGCAGGTGTTTTACAAATACTTGTTCAAAACGATGAGTCAACAAGCATAGTAACATATTCCCGAAGATGAACCAGGAATTGGGGCAGTAAATAAAGCACACCACACCTTGATTTACCTAATATTTGATTAACGAATGCTACTAACTGCCACAGTTTAACCCTGGTCATAAAGGAACACTGCTATTAGTCGACACAACCTAACGCACAAAACCCACACTTCTTCAATGAAATTGGGCCACTTTTACCAACAGATGAAAAACACACAACAAAAGTGAATATTCCGTCCGTTACGGCTACACAAGAATAGAAGTGGATCCCAAAAAGTTTAGTGATGGAATAAACCGGATGTCTACATTTACAAGCAATACGAACTTAACAATGAGGTATGTAGGGCACTAAGGAAATAAGCAGAACAGCATGAGAGAATCGTTGATAGAGATGAGACCATAAAACATGACTCGATGATTCAATAAGAACACCAAAATACCCTGAGCTGGCCAATAAGTATTTACAAAACAAAAAACACCAGGGACAAACATACCGCCACTTTTGCTAAGTTGTAGTCTTAAGTCGTTTAAACAAATTACAATGAAAATAACGAAATCTGTTAAACAGATCATAAAGGTGTCGCTGTCAAACCCTAAATATCCACGACATCCTTAGTGGTAGGCCCAACGTAATCTAGTACATCAAACAACAAACCAACAGTCCGTCCCAAGTTTTACATATATATATATATATCATTGGAATTCACATTTATTATTTTAAAGGTCAGGACTCTTAGACCTTGAGCCTTTCAACTCATGCCATGAAACGAGCATGACAGACCTACAAAAGTATTTCCTCACATAACTGACGGTACCGGCGAGCATGTTCAAAATGTACTTTACACATAGTATGATTAGCAATGGTGTTTCGGAACCTTGCTAAACCTTAAATAAGACCACACTCATATATGGGGATTTTTAGACTTAAAATAAATTATAAACATACACAAGAGTAAAATGAAACTACCTTAGTCTTTTTTATTACAGACATGTATATGAGCCTATAAAATAAAGACATTGCTCGGTTGCCTCGGTGGTCTCGTCTACGGTTTGTAATGATATCCTTTCGATATCGCTAGATCATCAATAAGTAAACGTCGACATATAGTCACAGCTTGTTTTATGATTCTTAGCCGTAACGGGATTTAACTTGGTTATCTCGCGATAAGTAGTTCCATTACTCTACAGATCTAAGTAATGAATCTGCACGTATGAAAACTGGCTTATGAATTCAAAAGGTGGGCTTAACTTATAAATCAGTTGCCTGAAATCAGGTAGGAACAGGTTTAACTGAACACATTACTTTTGAAAGCCTACCCGTGTATAAGCTTGGATCCATATCAATAGAAGCGGACAAAGGAACATTGTCGGATCTCATTGAAAAACGAATTCCGGGAAACACGAGCGAAAGCGGGTCATTCCAGTGTAATAGGTTCGTGGCTGAAATTGAGGCTTACAACTATCAGTGGGATCTTTTACTAAACATTAACTTGTAGACGGCATGCGATCGTTTGGAGTTATGTGATAAGAGAGAGAATCAGTCCAACCAAGGCGCAGATCCCCGTCTCCAATTGATACTGCTTCCGGCCATTGTGAGAAACGAGAGACAAAATTATCCCCTTTATTGCAGCAGCGGTGCTACCAAGTCAAGACTAACATAAATGAAGTGAGTGTGAGAAGTTTAGAAAACTCCCAAAGGATGTTTGTTAGTTCTAATTACCGTAGATTTATGATATCTTGCACAGGCGCGTGCCTACTCTCTCAGTTTTTGTTCGCACCACGTCAGTAAAGTCGTTTTGCTTTCAGCCTCATAGTTGCTCGGATATTTATATGAGAAAGTTTATGCGAACTATTAAAGACTAAGCGTCAATAATATTTCTGGAAGGAAGAACTATCCCTACCCCTAAACACATCACAATAGTGGGTTTATTATAGTTTCAAAGCCAACTTTCTAGACAAAACCACTCTCAAAACGAACAATATGTTAATGAACCTATTATGACCGAATGCGTTGTCAAGCTTGTTAAGTGAAACTAGATAATTTCGTTCGTTTGTAACCCATACTCAAAATCTCAACTATAAGTCGGTTACTAATGACAGCTCTAATCTGAGAACTCCAGCTGGGCTTCCAATGCACAAACCCAACTTACTAGCGCTATTTGTGGTGTATAAAAATTTGTAGGGTAATAATCTCAACTCATAACGCTACCCTGATTTTCAGTAGGTTTACTTAAACTTTTTATTTCACCATAAGGAATAATTCGACATATGGAGGTTCTTTATTGAGATCTGTGATAGACTGTTCAGCGTCGTTAGTATATCATATTTTTACCGCTTCTTCTCTTTTACCATTATTTCGCACTCTGTCCCAACAAAACCAATGGCAGGACCAAATATTCTAGACCTTTTCCTCAGAATATTTAAATTATCCCGAGAGGCTGCTATATACCTCGAAACTTGGAAATTAACTCATATTGTCACTAAACATAAATATGGACCGAAAGACTGAAACTACAGATAAATTAATATCACTCCAGTTATCTCACGTGTAATGGAGAAAGTGATAAAAGATCTGCTATCTGATCACTTACTCAGTAAAGGTCTCATTGACGCCTCACAACAAGGCTTAACTAGAGTTATACCATGAACCACATGTTTGAAAAATTTATTTAATGAAGTTGCCAGCATACGCAACCAGAAGTAACTAGTTATCATGTTGTATTTTGATATCAAAAAGGCTTCTGACAAGGTACCTCACAATCTCCTAATCAACCGACTTCTGTCTTTCGGGATTACTGGCAACCTATTGCAATAGATCGGGTCTTCTCTCACTAATAGATACCAGATTACCAAAATTAGCTATACTACATCTATACCTCGACCAGTGGTGTTGGGCAGGGCAATGTTTGGGTCCGCAGTTTTTCATAATCTTCAGCAGCATCTGCATCTGCAACAGCTGCCTCAACACTGGCTAAACCTTACTCTATGCTAATGACTTAATAGTGATTTACGAAAATAACAAATCTGACATAGGAAACTTGATGCCTACAATCCACTTGTTTTTTAATCATTTAACATGAGCCTAAAAACACAAAAAAAGAGGGTGCAGTTACTGACCAGCAAACATTGATGGTATGGGAGATGACTTCAAACCATCCATATTTGTGGAGCAGAACATTTTGTTTGCCTTCGGCTCTTTTGACTGATGAGGCGACCAATCAGTAACGTTGAGGTTGCTCTTATACACTTGCTACTTCTAAGTCTCATGTTTATAA